ATCTACCATGGTTGTGGTTTTCCTATAATCACCTTTGAAGAACAGGAAGCTGCGAATGATTTGCCATTCACATATCCTCCATTTATGGCCTCTATTAGGAGGAGGGGACTTAAGCTTGAAGAAGTGGTGTGCGTGAGTTACACTGTTGGGTGGTTTGGAGAGAAGACTAGGCCTAAGAGGATTGTTAAAGTTCAGTGTTACTACATGGATGGGACTGCGAACTTGTATATGAGACCTATAGAGGCAATTACTGTGACCGTTGATATTGATGTGATGAAGATCGTTGGATATCGGGATCGGTCGTTGGTGCCGGTGCCGAAAGCAGACGGGACGGAATACAGACGGTCGTCGGAGAAGTCACTGGATGGTGCACCTTTGAAGGGCATAACAGTAAGGCAACCAGAAGGACCAAGTTTCACCATTGATGGGCATACAGTCAGGTAAGCCTGGTTCTTACACTTGTGTCATGAATTTTTAACTCCACCTTTTAATTTATTATAATTTTCTGATTGATAGGATGGGTGGAAGTAGAAAGAATAAAAAATAGGTGGAATATATTTTTTATTATTTAAGAAAGAAAAATAGAAATGATACATTTTTTTTCTTTTGTGTTTGGTTAGATGAATGAAAAATCAAAATAATTATATTTTTTTTTGTGCTGGTTAAGATTAGGGGTGACAATCGAGTCGTGTCGTGTCAGATTTGTGTTGAGTCATTATGGATTTCTGTTGAACATTAATCACACCTAACTCAACTCATTTAATTAATTATGTCGTATCGACTTGTGAGTTGATTTATTTATTTTTGTGTCGTGTTCGTATTCATGTTGACTCACATAAATTTTAGATAAAAAATTTAATGCTAATATTTTATTTTTCCTTAATTGAATTCATGTTAATATTTTTTTTACAAATTAAAAATTAACTTAAATAAATATAATAAAAATAAATAAAAATATTTTTTTTATATAATAATTATGTTAGTGTTTAATAAATAGCTACAAATAATTCATTTTATGTCTATAATACTAGTTAAACATGTTAGTTTCGTGTTACTATACAAACAAAAAAATAGAAAAAGTGTTTACTTTTATATAAATGGGTTGATGGTGTCAATTTTGAGTTTGGCTGATTAAACTGAATATGAGTCTTTTATATTTCTTGTTCGCGTGTCACGTCATTTTCAAGTTTCGTGTTATAAAATTCGTGCCGAATTCGAATCGTGTGTCATCGTTTTGAGTCGAAAATTTTTACCCCTAATTAAGATGAATTTTTTTTTTAATTTTTAATTTTAATATTTATTTTTAATTTTTTTAAAAATATATATAAAAATACATATTTTATCATTATATTTTTATATGAAATTAATATATACATAATATATGTATAATAGTCATAACCTGTGCCTGAAGGCACGATGAAACATAAAATTCGAGCACCTAAAAAATCGATCTCACTAGATTAAATTTTTTTAATATGTGTATATTATCGTATATGAAAAATGTTTGAAATAAAAATTGTGTTAAATTACAAATTAATCAAATATTAAATGATTGAATATGTGCTAGAATTGAGTGATGTGATGTTTTTAGAGAAAAAAATATGTAAAAGATAAAAATTCAAATTGATATGTGTTTTATTATATAGATATTAAAAGATATATAGACAAATAAGATACATCTCAATATAAATAATTAACTTTTCATCCACTTTCTTTCTAATTTTAGAGGGNATGTTTTTAGAGAAAAAAATATGTAAAAGATAAAAATTCAAATTGATATGTGTTTTATTATATAGATATTAAAAGATATATAGACAAATAAGATACATCTCAATATAAATAATTAACTTTTCATCCACTTTCTTTCTAATTTTGGAGGGATTGATTTTGGTGAGTTAGAAGAAAAATTGATTCATTCACTTTTTCATCATTCTTATTTTACTTCCTTACAAAATATGATGTTTTATTTATCTCTCAAACTTTCTATCTTTCTAACTTTCAATCTTTTTATTTTTCCATCATATCAAACGAAGTATAAGAGTTGTAGTTTTATAAAGCAAGCTAGCNGATTGATTTTGGTGAGTTAGAAGAAAAATTAATTCATTCACTTTTTCATCATTCTTATTTTACTTCCTTACAAAATATGATGTTTTATTTATCTCTCAAACTTACAAAATATGACGTTNTGAATACAAAGTAACATCTTATTCCAAAAACAGTCAGAATTTTGTAAAGGTTTGTTACAAGTCTTCTCATTATGACTACCTAAACAGCCACAATGAATTTTTCGAACAAGCTCACCTCTAGATCTAAATTTTTGCTTCCTTGGACGACCTAGTTGCTTTTTTGACAATGGTGACAACATATCAACGTCAATCGCTGAAAAGCCAGGACGACCGAGTGTTCGAAAGAGATGTATAGGCTCAAAATAATACGGTCGGTAAGTAGTAACCTGATAAAAGTAATCAACAAACTCATTGATGTTCCTTCTATTCTTTTGAATTGCATCCACAACATGGACACATGATAAACCGTTGATTTGCCATCAGTGGCATGAGCACGTGCATCTCGCAATGTCAACCGTCACTGAAGAATGTGAATTAACCTAAAAAACATGATTTAATGACACCCTAACAAATTAGGAATGACATTCAGTGAAAGCAGCTTGAAGTTTGATTTCAATATTTGGACAATTAATGTCATTCCACTATGACGATATATTCAACCGACAACCCATTTGGTTTATGATTTGCCTCCTTATTGTGCCAATCATGCTTGTGATAGGTAAGTAACAAGATGTTGTGATTCAAGCATTAAATGACTCGACCGCAATTGGAGACATCTCCCTATAACGTTTTTCCTTGAAAAATGCATTCGTCCATTTCTCAAATAAAAGGTTTTCCAAGAACCTAGTAGCAACAACTCCTCCTTCTCGTTGAAACGTATCAAGCTTCTCATTGAAAAATACTTTTGATGGAGCATAAGCACACAATGTAAACAAGAAAACTATACGCTCGTGAAACACATGGGTAAAACGACTCTCATTATACTTATCTCTCAGATTTGCTTTTAAACGTTATAGGTAGGACAAATGGTGTACTGTTGGGAACACCTTTAACATTGTTTCCATCAAGCCAACGTTACTATCGGACATAATGATAAGGTCCAAACTATTATCAACAATATTAGCTAATTGCTGTAAAAATCAAAGTCAATTACACTCATTCTCCGAATCAACAACAGCAAAAGCCAATGGATACAAACCTGTAATACATACAACAACATAAACAATAACATCAAAATCAGTAACATACAAGCAATTATTAAAGTATAACAATAAAATAAAATCAGTATCACTAAATTAAACCAAAAAAAAAATTTCCTTGGTTGCCATCTTTGACAATTGTAGATAAAATAATGTCTTTATACATTCCCTTTAAAATTGTACCATCAATGAACAATATGGGTCGACAATATTTAAATCTATATATACATGTCTTAAATGACATAAACAACCTATTAAAGTGTTGCATGTCCGAATCACCTTCTAACATAAAAGTGACTATCTGGATTGCTTTCATTAGTAATCTATATATACCACCGTAATTGTTGGTATGACAATGAATGATCCCCGAAAAGCATACCCTCTTGTTTTTTCGACACCCATCCAAACTTGGTCATACGATATGGTCAAACCATAATCTGAATGAAACATATGTTTTACATCAACTGGTTGTATATCAGGTTTTTGCCACACGTTGTCAATAATAAGACCTACAACCAAATTAAAAGTCAATATTTTGTTATTTGTCGTACGTGCAGCTACACCACATGTATGCTCATTGTTTAACTTCTTAATGTAAGACCATCTATTAATCCGTTGGAGTGTAGCAACAACAAACCATTCATATCCAACAAAATATTTTATGAGACATTCAACTTTCACCTATGTTTTTTCATTTTTCACATAATTAAACTGACCTCGATTGCATATTTGTTTAAAGCATTCTAAAAATCAGCTATTTCTCTTTCAAACTTCTGATCAATCTCTATTATTCCATTGGACCATCTATCAGTCTACTAAAAACTAGGATATTCATGAGAGATAGATCCCTGGTAGTCTAATCCAAAAAATTGACAAGATTCGAATTCAAAACATTTAAATTTACAGTTCATCCTTATTATCACTTATTTTACTTACTCCTTTAGAGTCGAGAATTAATCAAGGTATATATAAAATAGTTCGAACATTTTTAATCAGTAAAAAAAAAAAAAACTAGAGCTAGAGACAAAATGCAGTAGCCCACCTAATTCCCTCGGTTTGCTCGTGGGAAATAAAGAAAGGGTTCAATCTTGCTTATGGTCGTCCAGTTGGTCCACGCGGAGAATATAAATATTCTACCTATTTTCATTTAATTGTATTATATTCTACACTTTACAGAAGTTTCTACAATTTTAAAATGCATTCTGGATGTTTTTAAAACACATTTTACAACGAAGCTTTAATTATCGTACTGACCACTTATTCAATAGAAAAATATTATTTGAATTTAAAATATTAATTTAATTAATCATTATTATTGAATAAATAGAAAATATCAATAAATACTGAAAGTCACAGTTAAATCAATGATAATTATTGATTAAGTCAGTATTTTAAGTTCGAATAATAATATTTAGTTGAATCGATCACCATGAATATATATATGTATGTAAAGATATTAATCGGACTGAACTTTAAGAACTTGAACTCTAATATATCAAGCTTAGTTTAAAAAAACAAGTCTAAAACATTTTTATTTTTTAAAAAAATGAGTAGAGTCCGGATCAAGCTCAAGTAGAACGATTATTATATTTATAAACGAGTCCATTTTTCCTATGTGCACACACATACACACTCCCTCAATTTCTCTCTCACCCACACACGCACTCCTATGTATATATATGCACACACAGATGGGTGCAAAGACAAAGGGTTGTTGCTTCAGCTAGCCATAATTATGGCTTCAAACCTTGAAATTATCCTCTTCTTTTTCTCTCTCCTCCTCATCTTCACCCTAATCTCAACCCAACAGTACCACCCACTGGACCCTCTCACTGAATCTGAGCTCCATCAAGTTCAGACCATAGTCAAAGAAGCCAACTCCATCCCACACCACAATCTAACCTTCAACTACGTAAGTTTAGATGAACCAGACAAGCCAGTAGTCCTATCATGGCTATCAAACCAGCCAACAAAAAACCCACCTCGCAAAGCCTTGGTTATAGCCAGAATTGATCACAAAACTCATGAAATCATCGTAGATTTGCAGACCAATTCAATCTCATCTGATAAAATCTACCATGGTTGTGGTTTTCCTATAATCACCTTTGAAGAACAGGAAGCTGCGAATGATTTGCCATTCACATATCCTCCATTTATGGCCTCTATTAGGAGGAGGGGACTTAAGCTTGAAGAAGTGGTGTGCGTGAGTTACACTGTTGGGTGGTTTGGAGAGAAGACTAGGCCTAAGAGGATTGTTAAAGTTCAGTGTTACTACATGGATGGGACTGCGAACTTGTATATGAGACCTATAGAGGCAATTACTGTGACCGTTGATATTGATGTGATGAAGATCGTTGGATATCGGGATCGGTCGTTGGTGCCGGTGCCGAAAGCAGACGGGACGGAATACAGACGGTCGTCGGAGAAGTCACTGGATGGTGCACCTTTGAAGGGCATAACAGTAAGGCAACCAGAAGGACCAAGTTTCACCATTGATGGGCATACAGTCAGGTAAGCCTGGTTCTTACACTTGTGTCATGAATTTTTAACTCCACCTTTTAATTTATTATAATTTTCTGATTGATAGGATGGGTGGAAGTAGAAAGAATAAAAAATAGGTGGAATATATTTTTTATTATTTAAGAAAGAAAAATAGAAATGATACATTTTTTTTCTTTTGTGTTTGGTTAGATGAATGAAAAATCAAAATAATTATATTTTTTTTTGTGCTGGTTAAGATTAGGGGTGACAATCGAGTCGTGTCGTGTCAGATTTGTGTTGAGTCATTATGGATTTCTGTTGAACATTAATCACACCTAACTCAACTCATTTAATTAATTATGTCGTATCGACTTGTGAGTTGATTTATTTATTTTTGTGTCGTGTTCGTATTCATGTTGACTCACATAAATTTTAGATAAAAAATTTAATGCTAATATTTTATTTTTCCTTAATTGAATTCATGTTAATATTTTTTTTACAAATTAAAAATTAACTTAAATAAATATAATAAAAATAAATAAAAATATTTTTTTTATATAATAATTATGTTAGTGTTTAATAAATAGCTACAAATAATTCATTTTATGTCTATAATACTAGTTAAACATGTTAGTTTCGTGTTACTATACAAACAAAAAAATAGAAAAAGTGTTTACTTTTATATAAATGGGTTGATGGTGTCAATTTTGAGTTTGGCTGATTAAACTGAATATGAGTCTTTTATATTTCTTGTTCGCGTGTCACGTCATTTTCAAGTTTCGTGTTATAAAATTCGTGCCGAATTCGAATCGTGTGTCATCGTTTTGAGTCGAAAATTTTTACCCCTAATTAAGATGAATTTTTTTTTTAATTTTTAATTTTAATATTTATTTTTAATTTTTTTAAAAATATATATAAAAATACATATTTTATCATTATATTTTTATATGAAATTAATATATACATAATATATGTATAATAGTCATAACCTGTGCCTGAAGGCACGATGAAACATAAAATTCGAGCACCTAAAAAATCGATCTCACTAGATTAATTTTTTTTAATATGTGTATATTATCGTATATGAAAAATGTTTGAAATAAAAATTGTGTTAAATTACAAATTAATCAAATATTAAATGATTGAATATGTGCTAGAATTGAGTGATGTGATGTTTTTAGAGAAAAAAATATGTAAAAGATAAAAATTCAAATTGATATGTGTTTTATTATATAGATATTAAAAGATATATAGACAAATAAGATACATCTCAATATAAATAATTAACTTTTCATCCACTTTCTTTCTAATTTTGGAGGGATTGATTTTGGTGAGTTAGAAGAAAAATTAATTCATTCACTTTTTCATCATTCTTATTTTACTTCCTTACAAAATATGATGTTTTATTTATCTCTCAAACTTACAAAATATGACGTTTCAAGCGATAATAAGTTTTGAGTTTAAATTTTTGTAATTTTTTAGAGTCACATTACGAGGAATTTATTCCTATGTAGTCTCAGTGTGATGACCTGTATTTGGCTGAACTAGGAAGGGAAGTAATCGAAATGCACATAAACTGATCCGAATATCTTGACAATTGAACAAAAAATAAGAGTTGTAATTTATAACTAATAACCTATTCTTATAATAATTACTTGGGAAGAAGATAAATTACTTAAGATTTGTAGTATGGGTTAGGGTTTAATATGATGTAAAAAAGTTTTAGTAATACTATACTTATTAAGTCTTGTATTTTAAATTAATGTGGGTGATTAGATCAGTAGAGTTCACTAACTTTACCAAATATTCAATATATAGAAAATTTGACACATCATTTAAGATATAAGATTTAATAAATAAATTTGGACAATATAATTTTATCCAAAAAGTTTGGATGATCACAAGTTTATTGACCCGACGGTGACCAAGTAATTGAGTGATCACTTGATGAGATCCGTCTTTCCTCTCACCCGATCCCAGTTTTAGTTAAGGGAAAAATCAATACAAGAATCCTATTTCGAAACAATCTCTTCAATTTTTCCTTACCAAGGCGTGTTTTGCAAGAAAATGAAAAGAATAATCTTTGATACCATAGACTTTTTCCAATTATTTCCGTGAATTTACTTTGTACATCACATTGTGTTGTGTTATACTGAGCCCCATCGACGGATTGGATTTAAATCAAATTTTGATTGATCCAAATCCGATTTTTAAAAGTCTGATCCGATAATTCGACATATTTTATTTTCACGGTTCATATTCAAATTTATTAACAATTTAAAATCTGATTCGAATAACTTAAATAATTAAATTTTAACAAATTATACCTATATTTCAACTAATTTTTTTTTAACTATTCACTTAATTTTTTTTAATATTTATATAAAAATATATAAATAATTAAAATTGAATCATAATTGAATTAGATATATGTATATCAAAATTCAAATCCGTGAAATACATGATATTATATTCGGATTCAAGTTTGGATTATAGATATAAAAAATCAATCTACATTTGACTAATCAAATTCGGATTTGGATCAGGATCAAAATCCGATCCATGATTTCCTATGTCAAAAACAGAATTAACTGACGAATTACATGCCTTCCTATGTCAAAAAACTCAGGTGGGCCAATTGGGTATTTCACCTATCTTTCGACATGAGAGCAGGCCCAATAATCTCTTTAGCGTCAATCTATGATCCTGAGAAGGATGAATATCGTAGCGTAATGTACAAAGGGTATGTATCAGAGCTCTTTGTGCCATACATGGACCTCACTGAAGAATGGTACTATCGGACTTTTCTCGACGCCGGTGAGTTCGGGTTCGGCCAATGTGCAGTGCCTCTCGAACGACTGAAGGACTGCCCGGAAAATGCAGTGTTCATGGATGGTTATTACACANTCTTTGTGCCATACATGGACCTCACTGAAGAATGGTACTATCGGACTTTTCTCGACGCCGGTGAGTTCGGGTTCGGCCAATGTGCAGTGCCTCTTGAACCACTGAAGGACTGCCCGGAAAATGCAGTGTTCATGGATGGTTATTACACGACGCAGGATGGATCACCGGAAAAGTTATCCAACGTACTCTGTGTTTTTGAACGCCATGCCGGAGATATCAAGTGGCGCCATTCTGAAAGTGCGATTCCAGGGAAAATGGTAATTTATATTTCAATCGTCGAAATAAATATTTTTTTTTCAATTTCATGTGAATCGTGTGCGACTATTAGAGACAGAATATAGATATAAACTTTCAACAACTTAATAATCATTCAATCTCGTGTTTAAATCCCTAGTTTTTTCGAACAATATTACAAACATAAGAATCAACAATAATTGGGTTATTAAAATTTTGTCGTTATTTTGCTTTGAGTAAATTATACACATGATTCTCAAATTATAATTCTTGTGTTAATTAAGTCCCTAATNAAGTGGCGCCATTCTGAAAGTGCGATTCCAGGGAAAATGGTAATTTATATTTCAATCATCAAAATAAATATTTTTTTTTTCAATTTCATGTCAATCGTGTGCGACTATTAGAGACAGAATATAGATATAAACTTTCAACAACATAATAATCATTCAATCTCATGTTTAAATCCCTAGTTTTTTCCAACAATATTACAAACATAAGAATCAACAATAATTGGGTTGTTAAAATTTAATCGTTATTTTGCTTTGAGTAAACTATACACGTGATTCTCAAATTATAATTCTTGTATCAATTAAGTCCCTAAACNATTAAAATTTTGTCGTTATTTTGCTTTGAGTAAATTATACACATGATTCTCAAATTATAATTCTTGTGTTAATTAAGTCCCTAATTTTTTTTTTATGTCAATTGAATCTTTAAACTTTTTAATTATACGGAGGCAAACCGAATGACTTAATTGACACAATTAGAGAGTTAATAAACTCAATTGACATAAAAAAAATTTAGAGACTTAATTGACATACGAATAATAATTTGAAGATCATATCTATAGTTTATTCTTCTGCTTTTAGTAGTAGCATAGTGCATGATTCTCACATCGGGAAAAGGAATCATTCAAGGGTTAAATTGAAACACTTAAAAAATTATGGCTTACTTTGAAACTTCGATCATAGATCAAGGGTCATTTGTGATGTTTATCCACGAATCATTAAAAATTTCTGATTATGGTTTTTCCATCACAATGTTTGGAATGGAATTGAGAATCAAATTGTTTTGCAGATTGTGGAGGTTAGACCAGACGTGAGCTTAGTGGTTAGAACGGTGTCAACTGTGGGCAACTATGACTACATTGTCGATTGGGAATTCAAGCAAGCCGGCACCGTCAAAGTTGAGGTATGGGTTATTAAATTATCTCGACATCTCTGGTTCGCCAATCTGATATATTGAATGACATGTATTGTAGTATTTAATAACTATTACTGAAAATTTTAGTCACATCCATACTACTTTATTATATCTTTAAGGATATTTTTTTTCTATTTTTTTGAATATTCATTGACATCCCTAGTTAGATTAATGATGTTAACTAGAATACAATTTTATACAATTTTCCATTATATATTTTAGGAAAAATTTTATTCAGACCCCCTCTAGATAGATATATCTTTAATGAGATATTCTTTGTTTTTTAAATTTTTTTACACATTAAAATTATGGCTAATTAAAATTCGATTTGAGCTAATTAAAATTTATTTTTTACGTATTAAAATTCGAGCTGATTAAAAATTATATTTTTTATGTATTAAATTTGAGCCTATTAAAATTTGATTCGAGCCAATTTAAATTTATTTTTAATCATCTCGAATCAAATTTTAATCAACTCGCATTAAATTTTAATCAGTCCAAATTTTTATACATAAAAAAAATATAAATTTTAGTCGACTCAAATTTTAATACGTAAAAAAATAAATTTTAATCAGTTCGAATTTTATGTAGAAAAATTGTTTGAGGTTTATGTAGGGGTAATTTTGATATTTTTGATGAATTTTTTTTTTTTTTGTTGTTAAAAACGGTGGTTTAACGGAAGGGGTCAATGATGTTTAAATATAAACTAGAAAGAGGTGTCAGTGATATTTTGAATAATGAAAGAAACCCATTAAAAATTTGTCTATTTAAAAGGAGTGTGAATAATAATAATTATCCTAACTCTTATTATGTCAACGACTAATTGGTATGTTTGATAATTTTAGACAAGACTCAGTGCACTTCACATGAAATCGGCATAAAATTAATAAATTTTATGCAATATTAACGGGTTCGAATTATAAATAACTAGGCCTACCATGCTCGCTTGATAAATTACTTGACACAATTCCAATTAAACAGAGCACTTGTCCAGTACGATATGAACCCAACTACACTTAAACAAGACACCATCCTTTCTGTGCATTTTTGAGATGGCATGTCCTTGGCATATAAACCAAGTTTGCCACTATTAGTGGGGTGAATCACCCTTTTTGAAGGTCTATCAAGTGGTTTCTCGTGTTTTTTTTTATTCCACCCTTTTTTTTATAAGCTAAAAAAAATAATAATAAACCACGTTTCACTCTCACAGGTTGGCCTAACTGGTTTGCTTGCTGTGAGGGGCTCAAACTACACACACAAAGACCAGATACAAGAGGAAGTCTACGGCACATTAGTAGCAGAGAACACATTGGGTGCGAATCACGATCACTTCCTCAACTTCAACCTTGACTTAGACATCGACGGTGATGCTAACTCCTTTGTCAAGACCAACTTGCAAACCAGGCGCGTGACGGGCAACCGATCACCGAGGAAGAGTTATTGGACGGCTGTGATTGAAACTGCTAAAACCGAGTCTGATGCAAGGATTCAGCTGAACAAAAAGCCAACTGAGTTATTAGTTGTGAACCCTAGCAAGAAGACCAAAGTGGGGAACCAAGTTGGCTACCGTCTGATCCCAGGGTCCGTGGTGGGTCCCCTTTTAACGGACGATGATTACACACAGATACGTGGGGCCTTTTCGAAGTACAATGTGTGGGTTACACCATATAACAAGTCAGAAAAATGGGCAGGAGGATTATATGCCGATCAGTCCCATGGAGACGACAATTTAGCTGTATGGAGCCTCAGGTACTACTAAATTTTAATAGGAAATTCGTAATCATTCCACTAATAGTCCCGTCAATAGATAGAATTTCGATCTAAATGAGATCCGAGACCAAATCTGATTAGTCAGATCTAATCTAATTTGAATTTTATATGAATATATAAGTTATATGTATATGTGGGTTAACATTATTAAGCTGTGTTGTTGATTATTAATGCAGGAATAGGATCATAGAAAACAAGGACATTGTGCTATGGTACACATTAGGTTTCCATCATGTACCTTCCCAAGAAGATTTTCCGATCATGCCGACGCTGAGTGGCGGGTTCGAGCTCCGGCCGGCCAATTTTTTTGAGCACAATCCGACGATGAATGATGTAAGTCCAAAAGATGCCAGGGCTTAGACAGCCTAATTGCTCCGCATCAATGGCTTGCCTTGATGCGGCAACTTGTTATTTGTTCTCTCTCTATTGTAAGTGTATGTACACCACGTGGTAGTGTTATGTGGCGTAGTTGTCCAATAAAATTTTTTTATGATTTGACTCGTTTACATAAAAGTTGTTATATATTACATGGATGAATGGTTATTAAATTTTGTGAGACTCACTTGTCCACATTATTGAAAAATAGATAAAATGGATTTTAAGATTGATCATAAGTTACTATAAAAGTGATAAAAATACCCATAAAATTATAAAAATATCCACAAAATTTATAAATTGTGGTATGATACTAATATTTTTTTTGGGTACCGTGTACTACTCTTTGAATCTATATCTTATTTGAGATTTTTTATTTATATAATCTATCTAAGCACTAGATTGATTTTATTTCTATATCAAAAACATGTAAACATATGAAATTTGATCCGAATAACTTTATTACAATTGATTCTTAGTAGTATATCTGAATTTCAATTAAATTTTATTAGATAATTACTTAATTTTAACATATTCATATATAATTAAGATCGGATCACAATCGAACTATATATTCAAATACAAAAAAACGCAATTTAATCAAACTGATTTAGCTAGAATTTAGATAATTCATCCAATTAATTCATATCCAACTAATCGAATTTCAATTTTGATCAAAGTCAATCCACCGACAGATTTACCTTTAAATACATGACGCAAACAACCAAAAATACTCTTATGGTTTGTCTAAGTCTAACAATTGTAAGCACAAATTACGAATTCGACATAAAACCAACACAAAATTAATAAGTTTAGATTTAATTTTAGTTGGTTCGAGGAGTAAACTAATAGACCAATTAAACTCGACATATAAATGAGTAAACATAAATTCAAAAAACATAATTAATACATGACATCAACCTTAATACTTTTAAAATCCATTCATTGGCCCAAGAAGGCATATATCATGCTGATGCTACTTGACATCACAAGTGGAACAATGTCTAGGTGGTCGTATCACTACCTCTGCACCCAAAAAAATTGGTGACAAAGATGGTTATCATCAATTAAAATGTGCCACAAAAGCCAAAAGAACCGTGGGTGGGTATTTCTTTTTTGGTTAACGATAAATCTCTGTAAGTATTATTTTAAATCCATTTCTACGAGAATAAATCTCAAATATTTGTAATAACTCGTAAATTATAAATATCAGTTAAGTTTAAAAAATACTAATAAAAGTCGAACTCCTAACATCTCGGTCTATAATTCGTTCAAGTTTCCACACCATTAAGTTACCCATGTGAGTGATGCGTAGGTGTTTTAACAATCTCAATGTATAAGTCAAGTAGTAATAAGGACGAATTGTAAATTTAGACGTCATGAATTTAAATTTTGGCAACCTTTTAGAGATAAGCTATGAGAGATTTATCTTTCGTGAATATTCTAATCTTGACGTGAATGTTTTACTTTCGACTAGATCGAAAAAAAATTTAATGAAAGTATGTGTAAAGTAGTCCAAACATTCTCACCGTTAACTAAAAAAAAAGTGTTTTAACTGNGAATATTCTAATCTTGACGTGAATGTTTTACTTTCGACTAGATCGAAAAAAAATTTAATGAAAGTATGTGTAAAGTAGTCCAAACATTCTCACCGTTAACTAAAAAGAAAGTGTTTTAACTAGGCATACACAATAGGGCTCTTAGTAAGTGTTACATTGATGGTGGGATTGAAACTTTTTTCTTGGTTTTTGGGAGGGAGGGGTGTTTGTTTGTTGGTCTGGTGGGTAAAATGGTGAAAGGTGACAATGAGTGAGCCCAGGCTTGGCACGCCATTCATCTTTTGAGCAAGACAATATGGATCATCATGATTCTCACAGCAAGCTCTCTCTCTCTCCAACCAAGATTTGCCCAAGTTTCTGAAGAAAAGAATGAGCCTGATTTTCGGTTTTTGTCACCTCACAATCATCATCTTTTATACCTTTCTTCTTCCAAAATCTGTTTGGTTAAAATGTTATTTTATACCCTTAAATTTAAATAATCAATTGATTAAGACTCGACCTTTAGGATGTGTTTTAATTAAGTTTAGTTGTTTAAATTCATACACCAAATACAAATAACATTAATATAATAATACACTTATAAAGTTGAATTTTTAACTTATAAAAGTACAAAAATGTTTAAAATTGATTTAATTTTTATTTATTTTGATCTAATAATATATATATTTTTTTTTCAAATTTTTTTTCTTTGCTCAAAAATATCATTAAATTCTTTGCACGATCGCTAATGTAAAGCAACTCAACCAAGGCACTTTCAATGTCAAACAATTATATTAATTTACACATACTTCTCTCTTCTCTCATCTTTATTTATATAATATCTCTTAATTTTTTCTCTGTTCACTTTAATTTTAAATTATATAATTTTTTTTGAACAATAAATTATATAATTGAAAAATAAATAAATTATTATTTGAAATATAAATATTACACAATCAATATTCAATTTTTAGTATTGCATAATATTTTCATGCAATGCATTGGTAGTATATAACTAACTAAAGCTTTTTTTTGCTTTTTTTTTTTATTGTTCGACAGTTAGGGGTATTTAAATCATCTTATGCACATCTCAATTAATCCATTCTCGATCTAATTACAAACAGACCATCCATATCGAGATTAGAATATTTATAAAAGATAAATTCTTTATGACATGACTTCAAAAATTATTAAAATTAAAATTCAAAATATTTAATGTTACAATTCGTTCTTATTACCACTTGAATTCCCGGTATTTGAATAGGAGTTTTGGCCAACATAATGAACCTACATGCCATGCCTTATCCGTATGCCTCACATTTCGACCGTAGGAATTTTCATGATCAACTAAGTGTATTGGCAATATAGTATCGGAACTCGGTCATAGACATCTATATAATATTACAACTAACAATGTTAAGATTTTAATTTATAAAAATATAATAATCATTAAGATTAATTTAATTTTTATCTATTTTGATTCAAATATACAAATATTATTTTCACTCAATAAAATTATTATCCTTGCACTGTTCTTAATGTCGGACAACTCAACTAATATGTTCTCAAATGTTAAACAATCTATTCATCTACAATTACCTCTGTCTTCTCTTTTATTATCTTTCTGTTCATTTTAATATAAAATTATATGATTTTAAAAAAGAGTTGTTAAATAATTATGTATTAAGATAACGGTATTCAGGGACAGAACCATGTATATATCACCAAAGTTTTTCTATACTCATGAACTTTAGTAGAATCGTGAAATTGAAGTAAACAGATGCGATCAAATGATAATCTTCCAGATTTATTGATTAAAGTTTTACCCTCTTCAACATTCAAAAAGTTGATATATGATNTGCGATCAAATGATAATCTTCCAGATTTATTGATTATAGTTTTACCCTCTTCAACATTCAAAACGTTGATATATGAAATTAGAATGCGCTAGATTTGAAACCAGCTCAATTAATTTTCTTATCAGGGGATAATCTCATTAGAGGGAGTATTCATTTGTATGTTGTACTCTTTTTTCTTGGCTAATGTTTTAACCCACTATATTTTGCTGACAAGGGTAGTATTAATGCATTAAACACTATCTTAGTATAATATTACTTCTCCCATCTCTAACCCCTAGTCGTCTTCCTATCAGATGTATTCTCTGCCTATAAAAAAACAAACTTCAGATATGAGAGATACACACTGAAAATCAACGAAAGAAAAAAAAGAAAGAAATTAGAAAGAAAAAAAATAGTGTAATCCTGAAGATCCATGATAAATTAAGTTCCTAAAATGACTTATTTTCTATATATTTTGTACAATANTCTTCCTATCAGATGTATTCTCTGCCTATAAAAAAACAAACTTCAGATATGAGAGATACACACTGAAAATCAACGAAAGAAAAAAAAGAAAGAAATTAGAAAGAAATAAAAATAGTGTAATCCTGAAGATCAATGATAAATTAAGTTCCTAAAATGACTTATTTTCTATATATTTTGTACAATATTTTTTTTTTTATATTTTGTTAATATTATTTGGACTTCACAACACCACGAGGATTGTATCTTTCCCCTTTTCAGTGTTGATCCCACCCATACCCAACTTCCATCATAGCCCTTTTGGATTTCCCTGCCACCTTCCCTACTTATATTGTGCACTAACCTTCACTTCTCTTCATCTCTCTCTCTCTCTCTGAAACACACACACACACACACACACACACAGTGTTGAAGTACTTTTGAGCTATAGGAAAATGGGTGACATTTCCTGCTCCAATGGGATTAACAATGGGAATGGATTTCATGGAAATGGTCTTTCAGTGGGAGGTCAGAGAAAGAGCTGTTGGTATGAAGAAGAAATTGAAGAGAACTTGCGATGGTGCTTTGCTCTCAATAGGTGTTCCTATCTGTCAACTATTTGTTTTTTTTTTCCTGGTGTTTTTTGGTTTCTTTGAAAGATTCATGAACAATATCTTTAATAAACTTGACGAATGCCAAAAAAAAAGAGAGGGCCAAAAGTTCATAATCTAGAAATATTCTTGAAAGGTGGGGAAGTTTTTGTAGTGCTTTTCAAAAAGTATTGTCTTACAAAGGTCGGACAAGATACGATTAATGAAAGTAAAATCGAACTGGCCTTTTATTTGATAACCCAGTTCAACAACTTGATTATTTGATCTTACAAATGTATTATTTTTCTTTTTGATGCAGCATTTTGCACACCGGAGCCACTCAGTACCAGGACATTCAACTATTGGATACATAGCCTTTTGGAAAGGTCCGTAATATTTACGAAAAAAATTAAATGAAATTAATTAAATCAATTTTTTTTTTANAAAGAGAAAAGAGAAACATCAGCCTGCACCGAAAAACCACGACCAAAGAACATGTAGGTATTGAACTATATTGTAAATCTACTTTTTTTGAAATAAAGTTTCCATGCACCAAAAATAAAAACCCCATGGCCAAAATGGGTGTGGTGCATAGTTATTTCTATTAGGTATCAGGCTAAAGATGCGGCTAACTTATGTATATGGTATGGTGCAGGAGGTGGTTGATTTTTGCAAGTCATACTTGGTGGTTAACAGAGAAGTTTTCTGTGATCCAAGACTTGTGCTCATCATAAACGATGCTAGGTTCTTTACTTATTCACACCCTGCCTAATGTCTTTGCTCGGGTTGTAGCTATTGTTGTCATTGATTTGCTTTGGTGCTCATCAAGCATTTGGTGATGTGTGAACAGAGCTGAGCTTGAAAGGAGAGAAGAGCGTTATGATGTGATCATAGGGGACCTTGCTGACCCCATTGAAGGAGGCCCTTGTTACCAACTCTACACCAAATCATTTTATGAACTCACAGTTAAACCAAGACTTAATCAGGATGGCATTTTTGTGACACAGGTACTTATATACATGAACATATATGTGTGTGTATGTGCGTGCGTATATGTCTAGGTGGGTGTGAAGAGTGAAGAGAGCGGAGTTAACCAGTTCAATTTTTCACTTACTGCAGGCAGGACCGGCTGGCGTTTTCAGCCATAANTTTTTGTGACACAGGTACTTATATACATGAACATATATGTGTGTGTATGTGCGTGCGTATATGTCTAGGTGGGTGTGAAGAGTGAAGAGTGAAGAGTGAAGAGAGCGGAGTTAACCAGTTCAATTTTTCACTTACTGCAGGCAGGACCGGCTGGCGTTTTCAGCCATAAAGAAGTTTTTTCTTGCATCTACAATACTTTAAGGCAGGTTTTCAAATGTAAGTTTCATCCAAATTCACAAGCAATAAACAAAAAAAATTGCATTTATCACTCTTCTGTTATTTTCTTTCCCTCTGATGTTTTATGTAATCTCTGGTCATGTGCAGATGTTGTGCCTTACTCAGCACATATTCCTTCCTATGCTGACATTTGGGGATGGGTTATGGTATATTTCCTTCCAGATTTTGTTCGTCTTGTTTCCAAATTTTCCAATTACTATGTTGGGCGCAAAATAAAATCACTATTTTGTTGAAAACTTCTTTATGTGTATTTGTGATCAAGGACTAAAAGGTCCTCTCTATTTGTCAATATGAAGTGTTGTTTCATTATGTTTGCTGATGATTATCGAGCATTATGTTTCTGTGGTTGATAACGCTAAATGTATACTACTACAATGATAGTAGCATAGTGCATTCAAATGATGCTAGTGGAGAGACCTTATCAAATGGACTTATACACTCGTTCGTTTTATTTGTTTAAACATAAAGAAACCAGCCTAAACACTTTTATAAATGACAGGCTTCGGATTCCCCATTTGTGCTAAACGCCAAAGAATTGGACCTTAGAATGAAACAGAGGATTCAAGGAGAATACAGATACCTTGATGGCAAAACCTTCACATCAGCCTCTACCTTGAGCAAAGCTGTTCGGAAATCGTAAGGGCCTTTCGGGTTTTCAACATCTGTTCATTTGTATGTACAGTTAAGTTTCTCTTTTGTAATGTTTGAGCTGCTAACAGAGATTTGTAATGGTTATTGACAGACTGGACAATGAGACTCAGGTTTACACAGAAGAAAATGCAAGGTTCATCTATGGCCATGGTTCTGCCTACAAACACAATCATGCCTGAGAATTTCCAACTAAAAGCAGAGAGAGAGAGAGAGAGAGAGAGAAGAGTGCAACTTTTTTAAAACAATCTTGCTCTTACTTTTATGGGTTTTTCTAATGTAAATTCTCTTTCTTTCATTTTGCTTTTTTGCTTATGTAGTTTCTTGAAAGGAATGATATAATGGTGATGTATGTTTGTTTGTGTTTGAAAGTAGATGTCCCTGGGTAATGTAATGTCTAGCTGAATGAGAACCAAGAAACCAACACTTCATAAAGCATATAGAAAAAGCCCCGTGGCATTCATGCACAACAGACGAATTTTATTTTCGAAATACTCCTCCAAATACTTTAAAATTAGAATTCGATCCAAAATTTTGATCTAATCGAGCCACTTAATTACATTGAATTCTAGCAAATCATATTTGAATTCAGATTCATTAAAGGTTCATAATTTGATTCATTTGTATAGTTATAGATGATTCTAAAAAAGCATATATGAATTTTTGAAGATTCTAAAAATTAATCGACAGTAGAGCAGATATGAACTACATTAAAGGAGGATTAATTCCTACAAAATATTTTGAAAAAATAACTTAATCAATAAGCATCGCTGATGGTTCAAAATTAAACATAAAGTTTAAGCTTTCGAATGTCTATGTCTGTAATCAAGGAATATGCATTTCTTCAACCTTTATGCTAATTACAAATTTAAATCAATTTGTAATATTGGGAACACCCTTCTTATCTATAATTGAACCTATTGAAAGAATTGATTCTAAAAGAATCCTTACTACCATAAATAGTCGGCGGATATTATTTGCATTTATTACTTTACCACAAATAAAAATGATAAATCAAATACAAGAAAATCTAATATACACAGAAAAACACTTGAATTTCTTAAAAGAAGATGTTAAAATTTTAAACATCTCATAAAAACTTCAAAATAATGATTTTAAAATTAAACTTAATGAAATTGAAAAGAAAATAATTAATGAAGTATGTGATACTATTCCAACAGTTTTTTGGAATAAGAAAAAACATGTAGTAACTCTTACATATATCAAGGAATTTAATGAAAATGATATTCCTACTAAGGTAAGACTAACACAAATGAATAAAGATTATTTGGAACTTTGCAGAAAAGAAATTAACTCTTTGTTGGATAAATCTTTAATTTGGAAAAGCTATTCACCTTGGAGTTGTGCCGCTTTTTATGTTAATAATGGTGCTAAAAAGAAGCGAGGAGTTCCTAGACTTGTTATAAATTACAAACATTTAAATAAAGTCTTGCAATGGATTAGATATCTTATTCCTAATAAAAAGGATTTATTATCTCGATTATATAAAGTTAAGATCTTTTCTAAGTTTGACTTAACGTTAGGTTATTAACAAATCCAAATTGTTAAGGAAGATATGTATAAAACTGTTTTCACAGTACCTTTTGGACATTATAAACGAAATGTTATGCTTTTTGGACTTAAAAATGCTCCTTATGAATTTCAGAATATTACGAATGACATATTTAATCTATATTATGCATTTTGCGTAGTCTATATTGATTATATACTAATTTTCTCTGATTCTATTAATCAGCACTTTAAACATTTGAATAAATTCATATATGTTGTCAAGTAAAATGGATTAGTCATTTCTACTATTAAAACGAAATTGTTTCAATTAAAAGTCAGATTTTTAGGCCATTATATTGAACATGAGAATATAATCCCTATTAAAAGAAGTATTGAATTTGCATCCAAATTTTTGGATAAAATTAAAGATAAAAGGCAATTACAAAGATTTTTGGAAATTTTAAATTATTTAATAGATTTTTATCAAAATCTTGCATAAGACACTGATATTTTACATTCTCGACTCAAAAAGAATTCGTCTCATGTGACAGATCTTCCTACAGAAGCAGTTAAAAAAGTTAAGTTTAAAGCTAAATATTTACCATGTCTTTCATTAGTTAACCCAACATGACTTAAAATTGTTGAAACTGATGCTTCAAATAAAGGATATGGAGGTATTCTTAAACAAAAAGATCTCAATTCTGCTATAGAATTACTGGTTCGATGCACTTCAGAAAAATGAGGATCTACTCAATTAAAGTATTTTACTATTAAAAAAGAAATTTTGTCAATTGTCAAATGTATTAGTAAATTTCAAGATGACTTGTTAAATCAAGAATTTTTATTAAGAATAGATTGTAGTTCTGCTAAAAGTATTCTTGAACAAGATGTCAAAAACAGTGCCTCCAAACAGATATTTGCAAGATGGCATGCTATCCTTTCCGTCTTTGATTTTAAAATTGAATATGTTAAAAGAAAATTAATTCTCTTCCCAACTTCTTTACTATGGAATTTTTGTCATGAATCGAGGTCAGAGTAGTACCCGTGGTAGAGGAAGGCCTGACGGAAGAGCCTAGGTCAATACTTATTATCCCTCTTTAACTGAATCTCAAAAGTTTAAAGCTGTTAATAATCAATTTCTTAAAGAAGGATCTTTATCTTCACATAAAGGTGAATCTTCATCTTCACATAAACGTGATGATAAAGATGATGACGGTTATACTGTCATTTGATTTAAAAAATCTATTAAAGAGGCTTTAATCACCAAACCTAAACTAAATTACACTAAGTTAAATACTCTGCCTGCTTATAGCAGTATAATGACTCTTGATTATGAATATGTTAATTGGATGTCTGATCCATATTATATTGCTGGTCGAGTTATGACATTGGATCAAACATTCTTATTTTTTGAAAATAAAGATAGAGAATATTATGAAAATATTTTGATTGAAATAGACTTTGTTAAATTCTAGAGATTCTCAATTATAATTCAGATCATAAAGATCTTCAATATAGTAAAGCCCTTATATTAAGGGTAATATCTATTAAAGATTGGGGTTTAAATCTAACTATCACAAGAACACTAAGGAAATCTCCATACACGGAGTATAACTATTTTGATTATATTGATGCTTGGAATAATGTCTTCTTATATGAAGCGATAAATCTAAAGCACTCATGATTCTTCCAATTTACTGAAACCTGTACAAAAATTCATAACTGGTTTTATGATTGGTGGGAAACTCACGGTGCTATTGACAAGATATACCCTGAAAAAATGAAAAAATTATTTGACTTGTATAAAGAGAAAAGTCTATCCTTAAAGGACAATGATACAACAACTAAGTCAATTATTAATTTCTCACTCGGATTCTTTGTTTCATGGATTTGGGTGTGGACTTTGGCTTGTGACTTTAATCATAACGGACATCCCAAATTAATTAGGGAATATCATGTTCGTTACTATAATAATTATCCAACTGACTCTAAATGTGAGATTATTGAAAAATGTTTTATAAAGACATAGATAAAGAAGAAGATAAAGCTTCATCCTCTACATCTATTATTCCCAGCACCAATATAAATACTAGAACTAATTTTAATTTGGTTGAAGTTCTTAAAGAACAAATTAAAAAAGAAAAACCCCATTTAAACACTAAGCATCTTAAAGCAACAGTCATGGAGGAGATGCGTCTTCAGGTGATGTCTACATTCGGAATGGGTAAAACTGAAAAGGTGGATTTCGCTAACACTCCAACAATTGCTATAAAAGGCAAAGGGAAAGATAAAGTTGAGGAGGAAGATAGGAAAACACCCTTTCCTATTGCCTTTGATGATGACTTTATGGATTCTCAGGAATATACCTCTCTCAAATGTGACGTTACTATTAATGAAGATTTGCTAAATGATGATATGGAGATAAACCTTCATGATGACAACGACAATATGCTGTATAATTTGCTTTAAAGGAAATGATCAAATAAAATTGATTTCTCGGATAAAGCCGACTCGGAAGAAGTAACACACACCCTGACGTCACTATAAAGGTTGTGAATAGTGTACATTAAAAAGTGTACAATATTACTGATGTATGCAAAGACGTCAATGTAAATTATTAAAGTTGTAAATAGTATATGTTAGTTTTAAAATCCAGATTTCATGTTCGGCTCTATAAAAAGAGATGTAGGCCCGACCTATGGAGCACCGCATCTCATACCTACACGTCCCCCTACTCCACTCCTTCCTCTTTCCTTTCATTTTTTGCACCTTCTCTGAACCCTTATCTCTTGTAAAAACCTCTATCTCCTACATTCCACACTACTACTGTAAGTGTATTTTGTACATAAGTTTGAATTAAATAAAAGATTTTGCTGATACGTCAGTAATATAAGTACAAAATACAAACTTATGTGAAAAATACACTTATAGTAGTAGTGGCGGAAGGTGGAAGATGGAGGTTTTTACAAGAAAGAAGGGTTTAGAGAGGGTGCAAGAAAGGAGAAGAGAGTGGAATGAGTGGAGTAGGGGTAGGTGTAGGTATGAGATGCGGTGCTCCACAGATCGGGCCTGCATCTCTTTTTATAGAGCCGAACATAAAATTCGAATTTTAAAACTAATCTATACTATTCATAACTTTAATAATTTACATTAACGTCATTACATACGTTAGTAATACTGTACACTATTCATAACCTTTATAGTGACGTTAGGGTGTGCATCACTTTTTCATATAGTAACTTTAGGGCATGTGTCACTTCTTTCGGGTTAGCTTTATTTGGAAAATTAGCTTTATCTAATCATTTATTGTAAAGAAAATTATACAACATATTGCCACTGTCATCATGAAGGTTTATCTCCGTATCATTATTTAGCAAATCTTCATTAATAGTAATGTCACCTTTAAAAGGGGTATATTCCTGAGAATCCATAAAGCCATCATCAAAGGCAATAGGAGAGGGTGTTTTCCTATCTTCCTCCTCAACTTTATCCATCTTTTCAGTTTTGCCCATTTCGAAAATAGACATCACCTGAAGACGCATCTCCTCCGTGACTACTGCTTTAAGTTGCTCAGTGTTTAAATGAATTTTTTTTTTAATTTATTTTTTAAGAACTTCAACTGGATTAAAATTAGTTCCAGTATTTATACTGGTGTCNAGGTTTATCTCCG